AGAAATGCATTCATGTTTAGAACACTTTCATATTTTTTGTTACCATATAATTCCTTAAGAGGACATGAGATCGAGCAGTTTTACTTCAAGAATTGGTTGGTTTAATCAGAAAGTTATGCGTGTGAGAACAGATCAGACGAGCGTTGAATTAGTGCAGTTGAGTTAATATATATAGATGCATGATGTGCTGTGTTATCCTTGGATCCAGTGCTGGTCAACCTTTTTCTTCATGAACCATCGTCCTCTTTTGCCGACCCCCCACCACCCACCAAATGCAACAAACCACCCACCAAATGTAACAAATCACCAACCAAATGTAACAAACCACCCACCAAATGTAACAAATCACCCACCAAATGTAACAAATCACCCACCAAATGTAACAAATCACCAACCAAATGTAACAAACCACCCACCAAATGTAACAAATCACCCACCAAATGTAACGGAACCACCCACCAAAAATTAACCAAAACCACCCACCAAATGTAACCACCATTTATATAAACGAACCACCCACTAAAGTTAACAGAACAACCCACCAAAATTAAATCGACCCACCCACCAAATGTAACAGACCCAGCCACAAGTGGGCGATATCAGCCAGGTTGTCAAGCACTGGTGGAATCCAACATGGCAGAAAGTGAGCGGAGAAATATTTATTGGCTTACATAACACCAAGTGTCCCTATCATCTGGACTCGGGAAATTCCACCAGCTATGCAGTATGTATCTTTTAAAACTTCCACCAAACAAATAGGTGGCTTAGGAGAGAAAGAAACGCTTGAACTGACATCCCCGTATCAAAATTGGTGAGAAATGTACTGAAGATCGATGTCAAGTCTTAAAAAGAAAAAAAGTTGTTGAAAATATTAAGGGTATATCTTGAAATACAGTTTTGCCTATCTGTCCAGATATTAGGAGCACTCTGAAGATACGCACTATACAGTATGTGACATTGTTTGATCTGACCACGGGTACTTGCAATATTTATTTAGCCTACCAAGAACACTTTTATGTAAACTGGCTGCAGTAATATACATCGCTTTCTGAGAACTTCGCTACCTCAGTAGTACATAGCTTTATCTGCTCAATACCTCGTTTTGAGAAATATGACGTCAAAAACTTTGAGTTTCACATCACATCAAGCTTTTTCAAATGAAAGACTTTGAATAACTCGATAACGACTCCAAATATTCGACGATTTTGATAGAGCAGATACAACATTTGGATTTTAGATCTCATGGTCTTATTGTCTCAAAACAGCCAAAAATGTCAGATAGAACTTTGTAACTCTGAGGTGTGAATTTGTCGCGGAGCCCCCAATAGTTCGGAGGTAGATATCACGTTAATGCAGCAAACACCATGGTTTGGTTTGCAATCAGAAAAAGAAGTTGGACTACTATAGAAGTAAAACACCACTAGAAACATTTGATTCCTTGTACATGTCTGTAGATCATTTCTGCTGGGGTGGGAGGCCGTGGCTGTAAGAACGCTAACTATGACAGTATACACAACACTGCCTTCAGCACAACTGAAACATCCTGGTTACTTCTACTACCACTGTATCTTCTTTGTCAAGTCTGAGGTTTAATATAAAAAACCTCAGGAATAATGGTTCGCCATTCTTAACGACGATGTTCTAAATAAAGAACAACTGCGTCCCCCAAAAATAAATAATTTAATAATTCTCCAAAACGCCCAAAATAATCCAAAAAGTAACAAATAAGTATATTATTTTAGCCTTTCCCAGGCACCCATCTCTTATAGTTTTTTCTAATAACCATTGACGTTTGATCCCACTAACTCTCTTTTGTCTCCGCGAACATTTCCATTGAAAACAAAATGTTCAAAACATTTTCTGTCAAGTCTAGTGAACCGAGCATGAACACTTGGATCCCATCAGTAATCTACTTGCTCATTTTTCCTGACAATTACTGTTCTTGTCTCTTTCCAAAAAAATATTATAATCACATCATTGTGTGTACTAGTGGCTGTGGTGGAAATGTCTCCCTCGTTACACACAGAAGAAGACCTGAGTTCGATTCTCACAATGTGCGGAGGGTCTGTATCGAGTATCTCTGTCTGTCTGCTGGGACGTTGTGTCCCCTTACAGCCCAGATTGGCCCTCAAGGTCAAATTGAAACCATGCCCCCCCCCCCCCCCCACCTCCTAAACGACCCCAAATGTATCGACTGTGACGTAAAACGTGGACAAGTAGTGTGTAATGAATCTACTTACTCCTCCTGTCCTGCGTCTCTGTGAAAGAGAAGAAAAAAAACACAGGAAAAATTAGGTTCTCTTCAGGTCAACCACCATCTTCATCGGGAAAAAACCCCATAAAGAGTCCCCTATCACATTATTTCATTCACATTTTCTTCAGTGACCAGTGTGTCTTGTATTCAGGTACAGAACAATAATAGTATCATCCTCATTATCATTGCCTTTCTCACCCTGGATCAGGATATAGGCCACGGACAAACACTTTCCACCTTTCCCTATCCTGGGCTAGTCGCTTGATTTCACTCCACGTCTTCCCACTTTTCGGTACATCCATTTCCGTGACTCTTCTCCAGGTTCTGCATAGTATGCCTTACATTTATACACGTATCAAGCATAATGCGCTTTGCTGCACAATCATACACAATATGTGCTCAATATGCCTTACATTTTCCTGATTGTATAGTTTGTCTGTCTTTGATTCATACACATAATAAAGTATGACAATTATAACAATCATACACGTAAACACATAACAAAGCATGACAATACAATGTACAACGATCATACACACAACAAACACATGATAAAAACATACACTGGCCTGTGTGTACATATAGTGTGTCATAACCTTGAGTGTTTGTGTGTGTGTACATGTAGTGTGGGTCATAACCTTGAGTGTCTGTGTGTGTGTACATATAGTGTGTGTCATAACCTTGAGTGTTTGTGTGTGTGTACATATAGTGTGTGTCATAACCTTGAGTGTTTGTGTGTGCACACATAATGTATGTCACAACCTAGTGGAGTCAGGTGTTCGGAAATTGTTGGGCTTAGAGAGTACTTTGAATCACCTTATAAATACCCGCTGATCTTGAATAGAAGTCGAAAATACCATATTTGCGATTGGCAGAGATGGGGGTTGTTTTGTAAAAAGAAGTTAGATTGTTATTGAAAAAATGGCAGGCAAAGTTAGAGCGAAAAATTACATTTAGTGACTTTGATCAACATTTTGAGTTCAAATCCACGCATAGAAATGTGTTCCTTTAGATGGCCACAAAAGTGTTGAGATAGGGACGGTTGTTGACCTGACAATGGCCACTCACGCAGGCTTCTGTCGACACAACTTCAACTAAAACATAAATATAACAAACAACTAAAACACAACCCATACAGACAAATAAACAAACAAACAAACAAACAAACAAAGCAGAACAGAACAGAACAGAACAGAACAAGCACACACTTACATAGGCTGTTCCTCATCGGCCATCTTGAATGATGTTGAGAATGCAGCGTCACCAGTACCTCAAGCAACCTGGGGAAATAACACCGAAAATAACGTGAGTTGTTAGATAGAGGAGGAGGAGGAGGAGGAGGAGGAG